TGAAGGTCATGGACTTAATTAATCTACACAATCCGCTGCCATCTCTACTTATTGCTGCTTTTGCTTATTTTTATTGTTTGCATTTGTGGCTTTTAAGTCACAATGAAGCTACTTTTAATATTATGCCAAGGTTGAAACTCGCCGAAAATGAATAAATGAAATACAATAACAACACTTTTTTTAGTTACTGGGTACATCATGGCAAGATTCCCCAGCTGAGTTGGTGACTTTTTGAATAAATTTTGGCCAAATGCATAAATTCATCTTTGTCTTTTTATGAAAAGCCTTGTGTCATTCTCAACTATCACTTTGATCCATTGAACTCTTCAGCAAAAGCCAACTGCCAGGACTCAAACAAGAAAGAAGCGGAAGTAGACATGCGAGTCTATGCCCTTGTTGAGGCATTGTTCGTTGGGCTACTAATACCTTTTTCTGATTATTATGCTCCCTGTTTTCTTTAATTGTGGTTCTTTTGTAGGCTAAACAAAAGTCGTCGGCGATTGTTCCACAGGCTACCAATGGAATCTGCAGATTTTGTTTTCTTTTTAGCAGGAAGTTTTTCTTTTTGAATATTAGTCATATGGAATACTTTATTTTCTGGAATTTTTGTTCATTCCATCTCTAAAACAAGTGGCAGAAAATGCTTTTGTATGAGCTTCTATATCCAAGACAGCCACTGTTATTACATTGCTGTTCCTATTGTGGGAGAATGCTAAATCACTAGTTAGTTCTTCTGGAATAGATTTGCAATAGAAACAATAACTTAAATTTTTTTTGAAGTAATTAAAAAAAAAGAGTAATAATTAGATAGGAAAAACTATTTTAGAGGATTTGAGAAGGATATTGTGAGTGCAAGATCAATACGCTATTTTGTTTTGGTAATTACTGTGTTATATCTAATTTATACTAAGAGACTTCTAAATTATAGGAATATTTGCCTACGGCAATGTCTCTTCTTTATCGCTAATTGCTATGGTCAATTATTTTTTAATATAATATATTATGATTTGATTAATAATTTCAAAGTATACAAATAATATAGGAATGATACTCATCGTTATATCATACAACAAAATTCGTTGATCTCTTAATTAAAAAATTAGCAAGTGAACTAAAAAATTTGTAGACTTCAAAGTGATTAGCTAGATAAATTTTTTGAATTTTGTCATAGGGTGATTATCCATGAATTTATTACTTATACGAATACATAATTTGAGCTACTAAATTGAACAGAGGAATACAATGGAAATGGAAAGAGATATGGAGCATTATAATGCACAAATAAAAAAAATCCAAAAATTGATAAAATTGTTCAATTTCATGAAAATATTTAATTATATTATTTATTATTATAATATTGCTAATATGTTTTACAGTGACTAATACATGATTTTTTCAGGGGAGGGGAATATATTTTCATTCGATGAATACAAAATAAATGTAATTTAAAAAAGCGCCTAAAAATAGTGCAATTACATAAGTAAATCTATAACATATGGTCAAAATTTTTTTAATGAAAACAGCTTAAATAACAACAATAGCTTTTGCTCTCAAGTTGAGGAATCTTGGCTGCTACCCTAAATCATCTCCTTGTATTAAAGAGTGGTTTTTTTTTTTTTTTATTAATAAAGTGTTGATTGAAGTGTTAAGAATGAATATTTTTATTTATTTATTTTATCAATAAAGTGTTGACTGACTGTTAAGCGATTTTAACCTATTGAGAATGCAAAAAAATTTCGTACTCTACAGACAGCTTGAAAAGATTATAACTTTTGGTTATATATAAAAAAAGAATGGATTTAAAAAAAAAAAATTTGGGTGCCCTTGCCTTTAATAATTAATAATAATTAATAGGGAGAGGTGGGAAACTGTATAGTGCATTTTAGATGGGTACAAAGGACTTGTGAAGGAGTGAATCACAAGCTAATGTAATGAAGGGGACGTGAAACTACCACTGTTACAGACAGTTTCTATTTAAGGCAATTGCTATGTTCTCCTTATTCTTTGTTTTTAGTGCACATTTTAATTCACCTAATTTATTACTCAACTGGCCTTTTGCCCTACGTCACATTTTTTCTTCACCCTATCTTTCTTTTTCTTTTTCTTTTTCTTTTTTTTTTTTTAAAAATGTCCTTTCGCATATTTGAAGCTGAAATAATTAATTAAACACTTGAATTAGTATTGGTCAAAAGCATCGTTCAATTGCTAACCATTTGAGAGAGATGGAACTTTCTGCATATGTGTGTACATATATAACAAGTCATACCGACGTCTTAAAAAATTCAACATTGACATTAACATTTCGAACACTTTTAAAAATCTGTCAAACTCTTTAAAAAAAAAGTGTCCTATTATTTATTTTATTTTATTAATTTCGAACTTTTTTTTTTGAAAGGAAAACATCCAAATTCATTAATAGGAAGAAGAAATAACATTTGGAATAGAGTTCCAAACTTGGAAGCTAGTACAATCATACGATGCTCTAGCCAAAGAGTGAGTAATCGTATTTGCTTGCCTCCGAATCTAGCAGTAATATTAAATCTCTAGTACAATTTCGGACACTTTAAGAACACATTTAGATATTTTTAAGGACATTTATTGATTTTAGAGATACGTATGAAAATTCATTAATAAAAATTTTAAATTTGTTGTTTTAAATATATAATTTTTAATTATTAATACTTGAAATAAAATAATTAAAAACTCTATGTTATAATTTAGAATTTGTAATTATTATATATCTATTATTATCAAATTGAAAAACTAATTCACAGTATTGATTTGAAATTAGTAATTCACAAGACTTTTATAAAAAAAAAAAGAGTCAACAATGTATTATATTGAACAAACTAAAATGTGGAATATTATCGCAGAGTAATTTTGATCTCTTTTAAAAATGTTAAAATTCTTGAAATTATCAATTGATCTCTGAATAAGCAAAGATGTTATGACTTTTTGGTGATGATAATTATGTTAAAATAAGAAATTAAGTATTTTTCATTTTATGTTTATGACTAATTATAAATGATTATTTACTTATTTGAATTATTAATAAATCATACTTATTTAATGTAACATGTCTTAAATGTATCTTCTATTTTTTAAACTTCCTATGTTTTGGCTCCGTGCCGTACTCGTATCATGTATCTGGTGTCTGTGTCTATGCAACCTAGATGATAGATTCAAAAAATCTATATATAGCATTCATATAAAACGAACAAGAGGGCGCAAAAAAAGCCGTCAAGCCTATTGCATAGATATTTTATTGCATATTCCCTACATGACTAGGGATTCTAATCCTATTTATATAGAGGTAGAAAGTAGAAAGATTCTTGATTAGTTGTAATTGGAATAAATTAATAAGGTATTAGTTGGAGTGATAAGCGACCTCAACCCTCATAAGGATGAGAACACAAATTCGATTTCCGTAAGCGCGCTTTACTGGGAGGCAAAACACCTTTAACCCTATCCAGATTTTGTGCAAAATACAATATTTGCTCCATAAAATAATCATGATAAAAATTTATATTCTATCAATATATATGCGGGCTATCTTCTATCAGTATATGTACGGGCTATAAACTTCATCACTGTCAAGAATTAGAAGCAAGACAATCTTACTATGGGGATCAACATTATAGCTAACCCTAGTTTTTCCCTGTATATGCAAAATTTTAATTAACATTGAACCAACTGCTTACAGAAAATTAAGAAATATTAAGTAAAACTATAGTGAATTTATATTTATTCACTTCAAAATATTTAATTTGCTTTCAGTGTATGTATGTTTTTCGTTTGAGTGGCTGGCTTAGTTGGACCAATTTTGATGGGTCTTACATAGTAACTACAGCTGTGGGGGTTTGGTTATTTACTTGCTAATAAAAATCAGACACCAATGCTTATCTATCTTTAAAAATTTACTCCCTAAATAAAACTACAATATTACTTTTCATATCAATTAAAAATTGAAATAACCACTTCTAATAACACTTCTAATTCACTAATTAATGACTGAAAATTATTAAACAAAAAGCTTACATATTTAGCAATTACGTGCACTATTAGAGGAAGCATTCATGTCAAAGTGTAAAACACAAAAACAAAAAAGGTGGGTCCTAAACCTAATTTTTCTACAAGCAAAACTAAAACAAGGTTTTATTTCAACTAAAGAAATTATGATTTTGTGTTTTTAATTACCTAAAGATTATACGTAGAGACTTCCTCGGGGACACAGCCTATGTGGATCTTTTGTTTAAGTAGTTTTTAGCGGTCAAAATGCTATTATGAAGTAGAGATTAAAGTAGTATTTTATAAAAGTTTAATTCATATAACATTTAACTTTTAGCGTTTTATGAAAAGTTACTCAACAACCAATAGCTAAACGCAACATTTAGTTTTTAGTATTTTATGAAAAGCTAAATGCTAAAACAACTAACAACTAAACGTTACTAAAACAATTAAACGCTATCAAAACAACTAATTTTGCCGAACAAACTTTTAAATTAGCTTTTTTTTTTTACTCAAAAGAAGATATTTCTAATCATTCACTTAAAAAAAAATGATAAAACAATAACTATAGCATTTTGTGAAAATAGCTAGTGAATGGTGAAATTGACCGTGTCCTCGTCAATTTATGAAGTTAACAAGAGCCCACAGGAAAATGAATTTGGTATGGAAATTAGACAATAATTGTTAACCATAATTTTCCTTATTTAAGTGCAATGATGCTTAATGACCTGGCCGTGAAGAAAATAAACCATTCATATATATAAGAATTTAAAAATATTTTCCAATTCGAATGTTACACTTTGTCGTTTCCTATTAGGGTCTGGGCTATTGGGCTGTCCCTCTTCTAAGTCTGTATTTATTCTAATCCTAGTTATATTAACAATGGTTAAAACATTCCAAAATTGGCAAAGTTCAGGTAACCTGGCAGAGAGTGGTTAGCAGTCACAGCGATCTTTTGTCCATCCTTCCATTAACATATTATGGTCTTTGACAATATAGTAACTTATAGTTTCAGATAATTGTAGAAGCAGAGGAAAGTTTTCTCTTTTCTATTTGAATTGCACCAAGAGAGAAGAGATTATAATTTTCCAGGTTTCAGAAGCTCTTTAGTTTCCATTTCTCATTTCTTTGTGTCTTCTACTCCCTTATTTGAACCTTTTATAGATCTTTATATCTTTCCTGAAACGCTAAAGGCTAAGGCTAACAAAGCTCTTTGGGATCAGAATTATGGGTCGTGGAAAAATACCAATTAAAAGAATAGAAAACCAGACGACAAGGCAAGTCACCTTCTCCAAGCGCAGAGCTGGTCTTTTGAAGAAGACTCATGAACTTTCAGTGCTTTGTGAAGCTCAAATTGGTCTCATCATCTTTTCTAGCACTGGAAAACTGTGCCAGTACTGCACTGAGCCTTTCAGGTTTATTCATTTTACCATTTCTCTGCCTTTTTTTTTTTTTTGTTCGTTCCCCATTTTCTTCTGAGATGGATCTGTTGGTTTCTGATTTTTGCTTATTAGAACTTCAATTGATAAATATCTTGAGTGGATTCACTTTCTTTTCTGCACGTCTCTGACAAGCTAGAGCTAGGGTTTCCAGTCAAGTTCCGTTCTCACATTTTCTTGACCAGCTTCTTTTACAAAGATTTTACTTTTTCTTTTCTTTCATTTTTCCTTTACCTTTTATTTATGATTTTAATTATCTCATGATCTCTACTTAGAACAGCTTCTGATTTAGTAATTATTGATATTATTCTCTTTGACCATCCTCAAATCGAACTTGTGTGATATGAGATATTTTTGTAATAAGGCTTCATCTTTTAGCTTCATTTATGAGCAATTAATTTTTTTTTTTAAAATATTTCCAATAATTCAAATTCATATTAAAGTTTTTTATATTTATTAAGTAAGATTAATATTTTATTTTGTTCCATTTCAATTTTTAATGTGATCCAAACAGACCCTAGAAGTGATAATTTTTCTCTAATGTATGTGTATAGAGAGAGAGAGAGAGAGAGAGAGAGAGAGAGAGGGAGATATGTTAAGCATATATAATTTCAAACCTAATATGCACATACTGCAGTATTTCTCTCAATAATGTTGTTAATTTTGGTTTTTAAATTGTATTCTAGGAATAGAGGCTTCTGAATCTTATTTGACTTATTTTTTTTTCCAAAATAAACATTTTCCTTTATAAATACATTAATAATTATAAATTGAAGCTAAACCCTACTGAGCAGTGATGAGTTTGATCAAGTTACTATAGTTTCACCTATGAATGCTCTGAGCTGATTAGAAATGTTAAAAAAATGTGAGCAATGGGTGATTATTTTCAATTATAAAACACAATAAAAAAATTTATGTAAATCTACTATTTAAAGAAATTTATAATAAAAATACTATCACGTAATTGTTATAGAATTTTTTTTCTTTTTTTTTGAAGTTCTTGTCCATGTACATTAATGTGTGTGTGTCCTGATGTTGCAGGATGGAGCAAATCATAGAAAGGTATCAGAAGCTTACAGGGACCAAAATTCCAGAGGATGATAGGAGGGTAATTATTAAAAAATTTCAATTACGTAATATGTGCATGTAAATTAATTAATGTTTTGCAATTTGATCCTTTTTCATTTGTTAATTTTGCAGGAAAATCTATATGATGAATTGGCAATGCTAAGGAAAGAAACTCGCCGTCTTCAATTAAATATGCGACGGTACACCGGTGAAGACATGAGCTCCATCCCTTTTGAGGATTTAGATGAACTCGAGCAACAGTTGGAATACTCCGTTGCCAAAATCCGCAGCCGGAAGGTAATTTTTCTTTAGTCTTTTTTTTTTTTTTTTTTCTGAATTAGCAAGAACAAAAATTGCAAGAATGAGAAAAAGAACATATACATTGTTTGTTTTTCTCTAATTTCTGAGTTTGTTCTGTGGGTTCTTTGGCTTTGTTGTACATACAGAATGAACTCTTGCAACAGCAACTGGACAATCTGCACAGGAAGGTTAAGTTGTCTCTTTCTTCTAAAGCAAATAACTATAAGCAAAATGTTAGAGGCACATTTCTTAGTTTAACGCATAACCTAATTCTTCCCTTCTCTTTAAAATGTTAGGTGCGGATGTTGGAGGAAGAAAATGGGAATATTTACCGTTGGGTAAGGATCCCATTCGACTCTCACCAAATATTTCCATATCTTGTTATTTTGTTTTATAGGAATCGTTTGTTGTTATATAAGTTTCTGAAAATTGATGTATAAAAATGATTATTTCAAACCAGATCCAGGATCACCGCGTGGCAATGGAGTATCAGCAAGCAACAATAGAAGCAAAGCCAGTGGAGCATCAACATGTTCTTGACCAATTCCCATTCTGTGGAGAACCAAGTAGTGTTCTTCAGCTTGCAACTATTCCTTCTCAAATCCACTCTTACCATCTCCAGCTTGCTCAGCCCAACCTTCAAGGTATATTAGCAAAATATGCACCATTTTACTTTCCTGCTATCTCATAAACTAAGGCATTAAATCTCTGTCTTTACAACTTATTTCTTCTTCTTATTTTTTTTTTCATTTTTTTTTCTGCAGAATAATAAGATTTTCAGTGATGGGTTTCTTAGTACAAGTACAACTACAGTGCAATTAATTATAGACAGTATGCGTTCATTGCTTCTAAGACAGACTGTTAATATATTTGGTTTCTCATTGCATTAATGTTCTTCAAGTTATGGTTTGAAGTTATAATTAAACAGTAGTGGTGTGTCATCTTTGAGTTCAAAACAATCTAGCATAACTTGAACGTTTGGAAACTTTTCTTTGTATGTATGTCCTGGTATTCTACGTACGTAGTTGTGTGTTTGTGTTCTATGGAAGCAAAGAAATAAAGGATATTAAGTACACCTATTATACTGAAAGACTAGTCAAACCTAGTATGTATGCATCCTGTAACAATCACATAGAAATCACTCTCTATAATTTCAGGTGAAAACTGCCTGATTGTGAGTGCGTGTTGTACTAAATATTTCACTGTTTTACTGGAGAAAACTGTTTCTCCATATCTGAAGCTTAATGGTTGATTTACAGGTTAATAAGCGTCCTTCCTATGCGAAGTTTATATTGTTTTGGTTCTGTCTTTTACCTAACAATTTTAGGTTAAGTTGGGTCGTTTAAGATGAGCCTTTTGGCTCGAGTTTAGACATATGAAAATGTTAAGTTTTTACTGGATTTATAAAAATTGATAAAATACTTAAATTGCCTAAAAAAACTTAGCTTCCTTCCTACTATTTTAGCTTCATACAGCCGTCACATTGAAGCTGTGCTTCTCGATTGGAATTTGACATACAAATTGGTATGTCCCTGCTATTTTTACCAAACAATCAAAGAATAACAAGCTTCCTTTACTTATCCACCATGAGCACAATCGCTCAACAAGTTCTATTATTAGTATGGGATCTCATCTAAAGTCTTGGGTATTTCCCTGCATTTCAACAGCAGCACCTAAATGTTCACAAGAACATAAAACATTCACTATAGTCAGCTCAAGCGGTTTAAGACCTGATGAAACTAAAGCATTTTATTAAAATCTAAAGCATCTCGTAGTCCCCTTTCTTAACATACCGTCAATCAAACACTTGGCGTACTATACTTTGCAAAGCCATCTAGCATGGAATTCAACGGAACCAAAATTTTCAGAGGTAGTCCATCGAACGGTTTTCGTGCATGCTAAATATCTCCAAAAGAAGTGTCCATGTGAATCAAAGAATTGGAGAAAACCTGTCAGACTCATAAACAGCTTTTGTAATATGGCCAAACCGAGATCTCGCTTCAAGAGGCAAGCTGACGCCTTGACAATAAAGGGAGAACATTAAATGATCTGGAAGGATTCCGACCCTTTAACATTTTAGCAAAAAATGATACCGAGTCATTTGGGTTAGCTCTTTGAAGTAGTCTGTATTCCAGTTGAAACTTGTTGGGTTTGACATAAAGAGTAATCAGATAGTGCAAAAGTTACTTAAAACGAGGGTTCAACTCGAACTGCGTTTTCAAACGTACATCGAAATGCGATGCATATGCATATCAAAACGCCGAAACCTGAGATCCGGTGACTCAGTTGTTATAAGTTTTAAATAATAATAATAACAATAATAATAATCAGCTGTTATAGGATGCTTAGAGTTAAAATGTTAATTAAATACCGCGGCTAAATCTCATACTTTTAAGTCTTCTAATTACCCTTATAATAACAGAAATGATTTACGGCTCGAATCGCGTTGATGTGCGATATTAAAACAAATATATATATTTTTGTATTTCCCTAAGTTAGACAATGGCTGAAAATTCAGCAGCTATTAAGTTAAGCAAATTACTTGCCTAACTGGATTTATAGTCATGCTTATGAATTAAATCAATAATAATAAAAATTTTTTAAAAAGTGAATTAAATCAATAATAATAAAATTTTTTTAAAAAGTGTTCTGATTTTATCTTTTTTTTCAATATATAATTAAAAATACTCTTATTTCAATAAAAAATCTTATTCTCATTATTTTAGTTAATGAAAAAGCGCATCACACCTGTCTAAATAAAAATTTTCCCTAAGTCAAGCCACTATTTCATCGTTGTTTCTTCAAGAATCAGCTATTTCATACACGTGTCAAGCTAAACAAAAGCCTTTTCACCCATGGTTTAACGCAAGTGTTCTCTCAACCTTTTTTTTTTTAAGTTTTGTTTTAATTGAAGATGAGAGAGTTTATCTTCAAATTTTTAATTAAATATTTTTATTAATTTATTTAATTTTATTATTATGGCCAAGTTATATGATACAATGTTTTGATTTAATTTAAGTTATGGCTAAGTTATTTAAGTGACATATACATTTATTTTTTGATTTAATTTTTTTAAATAATTATTGAAACAGTAGCAATCAATATTAGTTTAAACTTGGTTAAATTTAACCAAGCTATGATATGGATCCTACTAAATATTTTTTTTATTATTCAATTATAGGATGTAATTGTATCTAAATTTTAAGTTCGGGGTATATTTTAAATAATGGTGGTTTCAGGGTTGACTTGCAACATTGTGAGAAGTTCTAGCTGAAAAAAAAAAAACATCATTAAGCCACAAAGAATGAATTTGTTTTAGTGCTAATGTTGACTTGAAATCCAAAATGATTCGAACTAGTTTGACTCGAATCTACATGCCTGTTTAACGTTATTGAATTAATGAAAATAATTTAATTTTTATTCTTAAATTTAAATCATTTTTGAGCTAATAATTTAGATTATGTTTGATCAAACATTTCTCAGCTAAACTCAAAATTTATAATTTGTTTTTAGAATCATTGTATGCTTCAATAGCCTAATAGTAAACTTGAATAATGGAGACCTAAAAGTGAACCTTTTAGAATGACTTGACTCGAATTGATTCGACTCGGTCCCATTGCCCCATATGATTGCTTAGTTTGAGTTTAGACTCCGATTCCTTCAAAATAAGCTTTCTTATCTTGACTAGGCAAGACTTTTTTTTTTTTTTTGAAAGAGTGACTAGGCAAGACTTAATCCTTGCATTATGTATTGTAAAGCTTCTTTTGAAAGTGATTTTTCATTCAATTTTTTGTTAAAAAATCTAAGATCTTGCAAAAGAGAAATGTTACAGCTTAATTGATTTTATAGTCGATTATCTAATATTTTTGGTGGATTCATATATATATATATATATATATCATATTAGAATTCTATTAGTAGCTTCAAATCAATGCAAATAGTATAAGGAAGACAAGACCACTCTTCTCAAAAATAGATATAGAATAAAATTGTTATAACTAAAATAGCATAGTAAAGTTCACTGATCTAATAAGAACTCATAATGAAAAGTTGGTAGGTGAACTTAAAAAATTTATTATATCTTTAAAGTTGTTGGCTAGACTCTAAATTTTCTATACATGACATAATATCTATGAACTAGTTATTTGTGACGAATATAAAAATTTAAATCACTAAATTGAAAGGAGAAATAGGCCACACTATCTGACTCCAAAAAGTAAAAATCATCGTCTATTTAATAAACAAATCAAATGCAAACAACAAATATTCTACATAGGATGGAGAGGCCGCAAACTCAATACAAGATAGAAACAAAATATAATAAAATAATGAAAATATAAATAACATAGATCTATACTAAAAAGATATAGATTTATAATTTATTTAAAAAAAAATAAAAATTTATAAAAAAATGAGAAAAAGGAGGGAGGGTTTGTCATAAGAGATAATCAATCCCTCCCCCGTAGCTACATACTTGACTCTTGTGTTTTAATGAAAAAAAGGAAAAGAATTTTAAAGAGCAGGGAGAAAAGAGAGTGGCTAGAGTTTTTTTTTTATTATTATTTATATATCTATTTTATTAGTAGAAATTCATTATTAAAACCAATAACATATTAATCGGAGTAGTAAGTAGTCTCAATCCGTATAAAATTAAGAACATAAGATCGATCCTTATCCAAAGATTACACTTTGAATCTAAAAAGAAAAAAAAAAAATCCATCATTCAATCACTTGGATCAGCAACCTATTAAACAAGAAAATAAATTAAAAACTAAAATAGAAACTAAAAAAAATTACTTCAAAGACAAATTTTTAGGTATCTCGACACTTACAACCTAAAGTATGAATCCATTTTACTCTAATAAACTCAACTACAAGATATTCTTAATATATTGATCCACAAAATATTTTTTTTTTGTATTTTTTAATTAATTGAATTCTCTGCCCACAATTAAAAATTTATATTTGCATGTATATATATTTTTTTCCACTTAGTAATTTAAATTTCATAATTATATAATTTCTTTGATGAGCTTCAAAATTAACTACTAACTAATTAAATTTGTTATTTATTTTTTAACTTAAAAATGAATTATCTTTTAATTTAGTTTTGTTTGATTTGGTCTTTAACATGTTTAAGGTTTAACTTTAAAAATATTATTACCATCTTTTCCTTATCATGCCTTTCACTAATATTATTATTATTTTCTGAATAATTTTTATGCGCAAATTTGTTAAATGGTTTCGTAATTAGTGATAAATGTAAAGTTCAAAAGCTGAAACTAACAAATGATGTAAATTTATTTTATTAGTATTTAAAAAGTAAAAGAAACTGCACACCAAGATATAACCTAGTGATAAGTACATATACAACTTGACCTAATAATAGATCCAGGATCGAATCCCATTCTCTAATATTGAAAGAAAAAAAAGTAAAAAAAAAAAAATCATAAAGATGATAAGATTATGGAGGTATATTAGAATAAATTTACTAAAAAATATAATTATTTAATTAGTATTTAAAAAAAAAAAAACAATGATGAAAGTCATAAGATTATTCAAAAGTTACATTAGAGTGAATTTTATCTCAATCTCCTTCCTAGTAATTGAAAAATAAAATAAAATACTAACATAAATGAATATATATTACAACTAGTTATAGCCCCACGCTTTGTGCGCAGATTTTTACATATTATTTCATAATTATTACTAGTAAAATATTTTGATAAATTTTTAATTTTTAATTTTATATTGAAATTCTTCTTATTAAGAACAATAATTAACCCTTATATTTAGTCAAAAAACTAATGAATATTTGAAATTTAAAAAATATTGATTTTATTTTTTATATCTAAAGTTGACATAATGGAAATAATTTAAACTTTTTTATAATAATTTAGAGACATTATAAATTTAAATTGAAAATAGGTATTGTAAATTTGAATGAGTTGTAAAGATAAAACTACAATAATAAAATTGAGATTTCTCTATTGATAAACTCTTCTTTCACCTTCAAATTAAAACATTAATTAAGTAACTTGTAACTCATAGAATAGGTTATGAAGTAAGCTATGACTTTTTA